TTTATATACGTTTGTTTGTTTTCAGAATATTGTATCCATAAAAGAAATTCAGAAATAAGCATTTTTTTTACAATTATTAAACTATCAATTTACACCTATATAAAAATGTAAGAATTTTAAGCGAGCTTCATTTTGAATAATAATCTTCTTGATTAAAGATAAACAAGGTAAATTTCTCAACTTTATATTATTAGAAAATAATTAATGTAAGCACAATTTGAATATTAATCTTTATATAAATATATATATATATAATAAATTAATAAATTAACATAATAAATGAATATTTATAAATTTGTTTCGACGAGAAAAATTTTACATTAATATTTAATGTAATATCGGTAGAAAGATACGAACAAGAGTTCAGGACCTATTTCTGAATGCCATGGTATGTTATCTTTTTCTGGGAAATCTCCACTGGTCTTCGATTCTCTCTTGCTTCCTTATTTCTGATCCCTTTTCCGAGGATCGAATGTTTCGAAGAATGCAATCCACCAGATTGTACTCCAATATTCTACAAATGACGTTCCTCGATTCACCGTCCTCTCTTAAGAACATCACGTAAGGTACTATTTGCGAGATATAACACATATATATGCAAAGTCAGTCTTCGCAAGTAATAAAAGAAATTGTGATATTCCTACAACGAACGAGTTTTACATTTAGATATCGAATTGAGTTGTTTGTTATAAAAAAATGCTGTAATTTTAGTTGAACGAAAATTTAACTAAATGTGTGTATGCGAATATTTTGCTAAATTACTTTTAATTATAATAGTTTCTTATAATAGTTATAGGTCGTTTATTTTAAAAATATCAGCCTAAGTCATCTTTTAAAAGTGCTGTTAAAATCCATGCGTTATAAATTATCTTTGTATTTCATTGAAATTCATAAAAAAATGTTTACGTATAATTTTAAAATAAATGAGTCAAACTTTTAACGCCATGCATGCGGGTAAATGCATAAAATCAAAGCCGAATGAGAGAAGATGCAAAAAGCGTTGTTGCGACGCACGCTATCAATTTTTTGTTAATTTCGCGACACACGCTATCATCGATCGGTGGTAATCTCTATCAACAAAAACGAGCTTGCAATATTGTGAAATAAAAATGTAAATCCTCTTTTAAAATATTTTCACTGGCAAAAATCTCTTTAAACTTACAATTAATCGACGAGAATTTTAAAACCTCAAATTTTTTTTTCATTGATCCGTGATAATTTAAAGAGAGACATGAAGAATTAAAGTCACGAACATATTAAATATTTCTATGAATATTTTTATGAAGGAATATCGAGTGTTTCTCTTTTATCGAGAAATTCAGGTTAGTATCGACACAGTTTAGTTAATATAACGAAGAAATATATGCGAAGCTGAAATGATATAATTACATAAAACTTACGATAAGATTTGCTTTAAAGTGCAATGTACGAAACCATAATTTTAGTCCATTTTTGGAGCTTTGAAAAGCGCGAATTCAATGTCTCCACTCAATGAGGCAAACCTGAACAAAGTACCGGGCACAGTACAGCAGCTAGAGCAAACAGAACTATTAAAATGGAAATTTCTTTGTGCGAATGCACACACTCGGGAGAAGGGAACGAACTTCCGTGCAAGATTTTCAGCACGTCGTACACTTGGGGCGGCTCGAAAACAAGGTCAGTAGCAACGATAGTTTGACGATAGTTTGAGGATAGTTTCGGGCGAGAGATCACCCTCGACGCGAAACTTTTCAACGATTCGCGAGCTGGATAATACCCTTTTTCTCGCGCTTTTTTTTCTTCTCTCTCTCTCTCTCTCTCTCTCTCTCTCTCTTTCTCTCGCTCTCTTTTGCCCCCAGTCATTTTTTAAACTTTCCTCCGCCGGGAGAGCCTGAGTTTTGCCCGCATGCGCGTGCGGTCGTTTGCGCAGAAATTTAAATGATTCAGCTCCCATCCCGGGGAGCACGCGAATTTTTGATGTTCCAGCAGAACTTCGCCTTGCGAGATATATCTCTCGATGCGAGAGAATGGCCGGATAATGGTGGCACGGAAGCGACGCTTGTGCCGCTCGATACGTTTCGGATTTAATCTGGCACGTGATTTTAAACCTGAGAATTTAACCCTTTCAAAGAGAGATCTAAATCTCTATTCATAAAGAAATACTGAGAATTAACTTGTAATGTCCGAGAAAGTCTTCTAAAATGTGTGCATTATAAATATTTTTTAAAGTTTTTCTTCTTTTTATAAATATCCCTTTCTTATATATAAATTGTAAAAATGATTGATATATATGTGTTTTGGAAGCGTTTTTGCGACTATCGCTCGCCTCGACTTATTGTCTGCGCGAGCGAGCACACAGCTGATCAACCAAAAAAAACTATATACATAAACACGGCTTGTTATTGCCCGCGCTCTGATTTTGTGTTATTTCCCTCTTTTTTCTCCGAAACCGGCGGGTTCCTGCGATTCGACGGTCGATTCCGAGTAAGTCTGCGTTCAGCCGTCTAAGCGATCACAAGTCAGTGATACTCCATCGAAACAGTTTTCGCTCTGTATTCTGCGAAAAGTGCGTTCACCGAATACCTCCGAGTTTGTGGATCTTTGCGCTGTAGCGATTTTAACCCGCTCCCGTTGAAAGAAGGACGAGCGAAAGACTACCAGACCAGAGGAACGACACCATAATTATTATTTAATTAATAAAATTAAAGGGAGCCTTCGAAAACCAACCCGGCTATCGTCAATCGTCCTTAATATTCCTTGCCCACCGATCGTTCAATAAACGATTAAAACCACACATAATTTTGGTCCTTCGAGCCGGATTGGTGGCAAGACGAAACCAAGCATTGACGATCTGCCGGCATCATGTCGAACGTGGAGGAGATAATCAGCGATCAGACACAGCTGATGTACTCTGTCGCACGAGTTCTGCCAAATTTCAAGAAACTTGGCCAAGCACGGATGACTCGTGCCGTTACCAAGGAGCGCCTCGCCAACCTGAAGGTCATCTTTTCGAAGTGCCAGGAACTCCATTCGAAAATCACTCGTCTGGCCAGTGATACTCAGAAGCAGCAGCTGCCTTACTTCAAGGAGCAGCAGTTTTTCGCCTGCGAGGACGTCTTCAACGAAACATCCGACTACATGGCAGAAATTCTCGAAGCCTTCGAACCAGGACCGCGGCATCAGTCAACAACCTTGGACGTAAGCAACCCTTCCGAATTCTCTCGCCGGTCGTCACATTTGCCCAAGCTACACTTACCGACGTTCGAGGGAGGCTTTGACAAATGGTAAAATTTCCGCGACCGATTCACCTCGTTAATCGCTAACGATACCTCGTTGTCAAATGTCGATCGTTTGCATTATCTTTGTTCGTGTGTAAAGGGTGAAGCTAGTAAGGCGTTGAGCCACCTCGCGATTACAGACGCGAATTACGTTGTCGCGTGGAACCTCTTAATTTCACGTTACGAAAATAAGCGACGCTTGATTACCGGGCATTTGCAAACATTAGTTGATTTACCCGCGGTTCCGAGTAAAAACTCCAAAGACCTTCGGTACCTTTGTGATCAGACCAACGCCGCGATACATGCGTTAAAGAATCTCGGGCGTCCGGTCGAGCACTGGGATGATCTATTGGTCTTCCTCGTTTCGCAGAAACTCGATAAATCAACTCGGGAGGCGTGGGAGATAAAGCTTGGCGAAACCAGCGAGTATCCTCGCTTTAAAGATCTTACGCAATTTATCGATACTCGAATTCGCGCATTCGACGCGATCGCTCCCGCGAATCCGAAAGAGAAAGCATCCGAGTCGAATAAATCGGCGAAACGCCACGTACTCGCCTCCAATTCCGGCGTTCCCGCGAACGTCACGTGCCCTGTCTGTAAAGCCAAACATTTATTATACCAGTGCTCGACCTTCGCTAGCAAAACACCGTCCGAACGATTCGAGTTAATCCGTCTCAACCGACGGTGTATCAATTGCTTCAGCGCGAAGCACGTTGTGAAGGAATGCACGAGCCCGCGCACATGCAAACAGTGTCAGAAAAAGCACCACTCGCTCTTGCATTTTGACACATCCGCCAATCAAGGAGATACCATCGAATCCGCGGTCGCGACGACGTCGAGCGACTCGAGTAATAGCGACGTCACAACGCATCTCTCCACAAACATGGTGTCACCGCAGGCCGCGATTCTCCTCGCAACTGCCCGCGTTCGCGTGCATTCGCCACAAGGACGAGTAGTTACTGTTCGCGCATTGATTGATCAAGGTTCCGCAGTCACGCTTATCACCGAATCAATCGCCCAATGCCTACGGTTACCGCGCGTCAAGCAAGCCGTTCGGATTGCCGGCATCGGCGATAAACAATCCGTATCGCATCACGCAGTTACCGTCATCGTAACTCCTGCGTTCGGCGATGAACCTGCGTACTCGACGACCGCTCTTGTTCTCCCCTGCTTAACAAAATATACGCCAAATCGTACAAATTCCGCGTGTCGCTGGTCGCATATATCTGGATTGCGTTTAGCCGACGGAGATCTCATGAGTCGCGATCCGATCGACGTCATTATCGGCGCCGACCTGTATGGCCTGATCCTCCTCGACGGTATTCGAAAAGGATCCGTTAACGAGCCTACGGCTCAAAAAACCACTCTTGGCTGGATCCTCTCCGGACCCGTCACTCCCATCTCCACTGATCCACGCGCATCTGTGCAGGTGCATCATGGAACCGTCCTTGAATCTCTCGACTCCATTCTCCGTAAATTTTGGGAAATTGAGGATATTCCCCTCTCATCTTTTCCAAATCCCGAAGATCTCGAATGTGAGGAACATTTTTCGTCCACTCACTACCGCCTCAAGGGCGTTACGTCGTTCGGTTACCCTTTAAAGGTCACACCGCAGTCTCGTTAGGCGAATCGCGCGCCGTCGCCTTCGCCAGCCTTCAACGCCTCGAACGGCGTTTCCTTCGTCAGCCGGAAACGGCTTCCGCCTATCGCGAATTCCTTACCGAGTATCGTCAACTCGGTCATATGACCATCGCGCCAGCGGATAATCGCCGTGGGAATGCACTCCACCGCTATTATATCCCGCATCATGCTGTCGTACGAGACAGCAGTGCCACGACGCGCTTACGCGTCGTTTTCAACGCGTCGTGTCGAACCTCGGACGGCACATCCTTGAACGATCACTTGATGGTCGGGCCTAAGCTCCAGCTCGATCTCGCCACGGTGCTAATGCGATGGCGTCAACATCGCTATGTCTACACTGCCGACATCGCAAAGATGTATCGGCAAATTCTAGTTGACCAACGCGATGTTGACTACCAGAGGATTCTGTGGCGAGAGTCTCCGGAACAACCAGTCGAGGAGTATCAACTACTCACAGTTACCTACGGCACCGCTTCCGCTCCTTACCTCGCTCTCCGTGTTTTGCGACAGTTAGCGCAAGATGAAGGCGCCTCATTTCCGCTCGCGGTTCCGGTTCTCCTTTCGCAACTTTACGTCGACGACAGCGTGTTCGGCGCCGACGATAAAATTCTCGCGCGCCAGACTCGCGACCAACTTGTCGCTTTATTAGAAAAGGGCGGTTTTCGCTTGAGAAAATGGGCGAGCAATTGCGCAGATCTCCTATCGGATATTGATCCGTCCGATCACGGTCTTGCCTGCTCAAAGGAGCTATATGATGATGAGCGATTGAGCGTGCTAGGTCTCACGTGGGACCCGTGTCGCGATGTCTTTCGGGTTAAAGTTTCTCTCCCGACACATATTTCGAAAACGAAACGCGAGATCTTATCGACCATCGCCAAACTATTTGATCCGCTCGGTTGGATCACCCCCGTCGTGATTACCGCAAAAATATTTCTGCAAACATTGTGGCAATTAAAATGCGATTGGGACGACGACATTCCCGGCGATTACGCAAACGACTGGGAACGCTATTATTCGCAATTATCGTGCCTTCATCAACTCGAAATCGCGCGCTGGACGCGATCCGGCTCTCATACCTTGAAAACGGAGTTACACGGTTTCTCAGACGCCTCTACGAAAGCCTATGCGGCGGTAGTCTACCTCCGTAACATTAACATCGACGGATCGGTCGACGTTTTCTTGCTCGCCGCGAAGTCCAAGGTCGCCCCTCTCAAAACATTAAGCGTTCCGCGTCTCGAGTTAGCCGCTGCACATCTTCTTTCGCGCCTCGTGCAGTTCGTTCGAACGACGCTTCAACTGCCGAACATCGAAATACATTGTTGGACGGATTCCACCATAACGCTAGCCTGGCTAAGTAAATCGCCGTCTTGCTGGCGAACGTTCGTAGCAAATCGCGTCGCGGCCATTCAAACGACCTTACCGGACATACCGTGGCGCCATGTTCCGACTTACGACAACGCCGCCGATGCCGCGTCCCGTGGTCTTGCTCCGGAGGAACTAGCTCCACATCCGTTATGGTGGCACGGACCCCCGTGGCTGTCTTTGCCTCCAACCTCTTGGCCGAACGGCAATCTCATACAAGATGAGATCACATCCACCGATCTTTTGGAGAAACGAAACGTACACGTCACGGATTCTCCGGCGCCTCCGGAATTATGGGATCTCGCTTTTCGCTTCTCATCATGGCCGAAATTGCTTCGCGTGACCTCGTATCTAATTCGATTCGGGAATCTCGCGCGACGGCGAAATCAATCACTCGAACGCAGTTCGCGCGTCGACGAAATCGCCGCAGCCAAAGCGTACTGGCTCCGCTGTATACAGGCAGCTATGTTTCCCGCTGAATTAGTCTGTCTCGCTGCGAAGAGATCCGTGTCCAAATCCAGTCCGCTTTCATCTCTCAATCCTTCGCTGAGCGACGACGGACTCATCCGCGTCCGCGGACGTCTACGTCACGCTCGCCTGCCAGATTCGACGAAGTACCCGATCGTCCTTCGGTCGCATCCTCTCCTTTCCCTCATCATCGATCATCACCATCATCGCATGCTACACGGCGGTTCACAACTCACTCTCGCATCCTTACGTTCCGAATTCTGGATTCTTCGCGCTCGCACTTGTACCCGCGCAGTCCTTCACAAATGTGTGCGATGTGCCCGCGAGGCTGCGACCATTCCAAATGAACTCATGGGAGATCTTCCGTCGGTTCGCGTAAATCGCGCGGCGCGACCGTTTTCACACACGGGAGTCGATTATGCTGGTCCTATTTTGTTACGAAGTACACCCGGGCGCGGACATAAGTCTCATAAAGCGTACATCGCCCTGTTTGTATGCCTCACTACTAAGGCTATCCACCTTGAAGTCGTGACCGATTATACTTCGCGCCACCTTTATCGCGGCGTATCATCGGTTCGTGTCCAGACGAGGTCTTCCCCAGGGGATGTATTGCGATAATGGCACAACTTTCCAAGGAGCCGATCGCGAATTAGCCGATGCACATCGTCGCGCCCTCCGCGATCCAAATTTTATTGAGGCGACCGCTTGCGAAAAAACATCGTGGCATTTCCTTCCCCCGGCCGCCCCACATTTCGGTGGTCTCTGGGAGGCGGTGTGCGTAGCGTCAAAACGCACCTCAAACGTTGCATAGGTGCTCACACTCTCACGTACGAAGAAATGAACACCCTTCTCTGTAAAATCGAAGCGTGTTTAAATTCTCGACCGTTATCCGCCGTCTCCGAGAATCTGGAAGACTACCGCGTTTTAACTCCTGGGCATTTTTTAATCGGCGCTCCGTTAGCAGCGGTTCCCGAACCCAGCGTTCTCGACCTGCATGAAAATCGATTGTCACGCTGGCAGATGACGCAGCGCATCACCGAAGGTTTTTGGAGATCTTGGCGCAACGATTACTTGCTCACCCTCCAACAACGCCCAAAATGGCGAATTGTACAAAAATTAGCGCGCGTCGGTCAGTTAGTTCTTCTACGAAATCCGCTAGCTCCCCCGAGTCAATGGGAGCTCGGCCGAATTGTTGCGTGCCATCCCGGAGCCGACGGCTTGACGAGAGTCGTCACCGTCCGAACGAGCCGCGCAGAATATAAGCGCCCTATCACCAAAATTTGTTATCTTCCCGTCGACATCAATCAAGAGATGTCAATGATATCCGGCTCGGCGGGCGGAGATAAAAAGTAAAGCGAGCACTTGCTCATATATATATCTCGTTTTGTTTGTTTGCGTTTGTTTAATTTGTTTTAAAATTTAATCAACTATATTCTTATGTATACCTTTGTCACTGGTCTCGTATCACGATAAGACTGTTCAAATCGATAGAGTGGATCTCTCAATCGATTGTAACGTTATCGTCGTTGGTGCAAACCGAAGTGCATCTCTTGTTCGTCACAATGCGCATTTCGAATGTGTTCATTCGAGCGGGCGGTATGTTTTTT